AAAAAAAAATTTGTGGGAAAAAATACAACGGAATTTGGAACAAAATAAAACTTCTTTCATAGGGCTTATGCATTAGGACTTGGCAAACACCAATAAAAAAAGACTGTTAAATTAAATTAGTGAGACACCTGCAGATGAGGCTGAATCTCCGATTTTCTTTTAGTTCTAAAGTATTTAATTCAAGTCATAGACTGCAGCTTTATTCAGCATGCGTGATGTGCTGACGTCTCACCTTAAAGGCCACGTGGTTTTTGGTGACGTTGTTGAGGATGATCAAACACTTCTTCTCTGATTCTTTAGCACCGAATCGGAGCTCTTCTGATGGACTGAAACACCACACAACACCGCACACGCGCGGTTATCAAGATCACATTCACAACTCTCTCACTAACCGATTACTGCAATATCACTGAGTGATGTTCACACAACAGACAACACATTACATCAGATCCTGTGACTCTAAACATCAATGTGTGTGCATACGGGAGATAGAGCAAAAAAAATATGTTCATCTCCATATTTATGCGTTGGTTCTGAAATACAGGATTCATCATTTTAATCAAAAGTCTTTATAATAAAGTAGATTCAAAATGCGTCACGTTAGAAATAAAATGCAATAAAAAGAGTTCACAATGCATGTTTTCACATTTTCCTTTATTATTATATTTTTGTAACACTTTACAGTAAGGTCTCATTTGTTAGCATTAATAAATGCATCAATTAATGTGAACTAACAATGAACCAGTATTATTTTAGTGTTATTTATATACCATTATAGTTTTTGTTAATTTAGATTATTTTTATATTTTAAATGTATTATATTTAATTTTTGGTATTTTTTTGTGCAGGCTTACAAAAAGCAAACTGAATTTTTATTTTTATTCGCTCTAATTTATCTTTATTTCAGTTTTAGTTTTATTTCCAGTGAGTAATTTTAGTTTTTTAACTTTATTTATTTATTAATTATTTCAGTTAGTTGCCAAGGCAGTTAAAGTTTTTCATTTAATATTTATTTTACTTTATTCAAGCAACAAAATTGTTTTAAATGGTAACAATATATTAGCATTTATTCACTTTCATTAATGCTCTTTGTTCATCATTTTAGTTCACAGTGCATTAATAATTCATTATTAATAATTAATAATTTGATTTTAAAAATGTAATGTTGAAATTAGGAAGTTAGCATTGGTTATTCTCAGCTCTTAACTAATGTAGTTAAAAGAAATCATATTGTAAAGTGTGACCATTTTTATTTATATGCACCAATTTAACAATCATAAACCGCAATATATATTCTGAAAACATTTTGATATGAAAACTGACACATGGAGAATAAACATTGGGAGATGACGCAAATGAATCATTGCTCCAAAGTTCTGAACTGATTCACTGAATTGCACAGTATGAACTGAATCATGTAAATGAATCCTCACACATATTTAATAAACATTCAATATCTTAGCCAGCTCTAATAGGCACATGTATTGTTATTGTAGATTTATTTGGCATGAATCATGTGCTGCATGAACCGCAGGCGGCCTCAAATAACATCCATATCCAAAATATTGTGCAGCATGACTGTTTTCAACATTGATGATAATCAGA